AGCAGTGGTCACATCAGCATGGTGCTGACCAAGACCTATGAAAGAGCAATGCTGACGAAAGCCCAAAGCCCAGGTGCAGTGGTGGCAGCAGCAGCAGCAGTGGTGGCCAGCACAGAGGCAGCAGTGGCACCCAGCATGGTGGCAGCAGTGGTGAAGGGTGTGGTATAACAGTGATGGCTGACAAATGCACACCTGTGTACCCGGCCCCAGGCTGTGGTCAGCACGGGCCGCTGGTTCACACCACCAGCAGGCATGGGTTGTGGGCCCAGGGAGGGCTGTGGGCAGCCACCCGTGCACCACACCTGCATGTGTAGCACTCACTCTTTGCACCATCTGCAGCAATAGGGCTGTGGCTACCCTGATGAGGGTGGCCCTACTGGCTGCTGCTGACCACTATGCACCATGTGAAGCTGATAGTGGTCCAGGGGGGATCTGGTGTCCAGGAAGCTATGGGGAGCACAGGGCAGTGTTGGCGGCTGTAGCTCCTGCAGGTGGAGGAGACTGCCCTGGGCTGTCAGGGGCAGGCGACCTGGTGCTTTTGGTGTGTGGGTGTAATGACGCAACTGCCAATCTGAGCATCCCGGGTTACGCCTTTGCTGTGTTACAGTGGGGGATTGAACTGCTGGTGTCCAAAGTCCGTGTATGAAAAGCGGGGGCAGACTGAAGGAGGACTAAGGGGGAAACCGTTCATTAATCCTGGGCTGCACTGGATGGTGTTCACCTGCCACCTGCAGTATGCTGCAGTATTCCTCCCCCAGGATGGAGTGACTAAGGCCCATGGTGAGACCATGGTAGAGCAGCAGGGCCAGGAGCTTGGATTCCCTGGCGTGTGGTGGCAAGGGGAAAGTGGCACTGAGTTTGAAGTTTCAGATTAACACGGGTGAGAGACATGCTGGCTATGTGAACATGATTGGAGAGGGTGTCATTGCCTGGCATATTGCAGTGCACAGCAGGGGCCCGTGAGCCGCCTGATAACCTCACGAGTAGCTTCTATGTATGTGTCATCCTGAGGGTGATGGGTGGTGGTGGTGGTGGTGGTGGTCGGTTTACAGAAGTATGTGGACTAGCACGCAGCATGGAAGACCTGGCATTATGAAGAGTTGCTTAGGCCAACCTTCTGATTTGCACCCACAATGTTCGGCTGTAATGCAGCTAGCAGCTTGACCATTGCCATTCTTGCTATGCTTGCATCATGAACCTAAATCACTTCATTGTTCGTCAAAATACCAGAGCTGCACTGTCCAAGATTACATGTAAACAAAGCTATGATTGCATATATCCTTGGGCTTGCTGAGGGTTATCTTCTGCCTTAGTCGTTGGTCTGCAAGCATGATGAGTGTCACCCACCCCCAACAGCAGGCAAGCATGGCCCTGCAGTTTTTCCGTATTTAGGCTGCACCTTCAAGGCCTCCAGCTTCATGGACCGTCATCCACGCTTTCCATCCCCCACCCCCACGCCCATGCTCCCAACCACCTTTGCGACCCAAATCTGGGCCTCACTCCTGCAGCCTCACACGCCTCCATCACCTCAACATCCTTAAGTCATCCTCGTTTCCTTCTTCTGGCTCTCGTCAACTCCCTCCCGCCTATGCAGTTTTTCTTACCTATTTTCTTCCTCCTCCTCATCCCCTTATCCCTGTTTTCTACATCCTGGCTGGGCTCCCATGGGCACTACTGGCTTTGCCGTACCTTGCCGTACACAGCTCAAACCCCACAGCACAAGCCCGGGCCGAGATATAAGGTGTGGGCACAACCTCACATTGGACTACAAGCCCAGCAATCCACGGTAAGATCATAAGCCCCTAATAACTCCACCCCACCCCTCGAGCTCCAAACCGGTTTAGTGGTCACTTCCCTTACTTCCTGGGCTGGGGGGGGGTTCATTCCATCTGCTTGTGGCTATGCCGCATGCTGACAGGCCGTACAGTTGTCATACTGTCGTACTTTTTGCAGATGGCTCTAGGAGGCCGTGTCCCTGGATCCAGCGGATCTGGCCACATATCTGTCCTGGCAATGTCTCATTTTGATTCGGTTTCAGGTTCGTGCCGTCGTGTCTGGGACTCTGGGTGTTTGTCCGGTGTGTGTGCCTCTGTGTGTGAGCTGGTTGGGTAGTTAGTTGCCGATTCATGTGCGTGCTGTCTGCTTATGTGCTTTTTTTGTGTGTGTGGAAAAATGTCAGGTGTTTCAGTGAGTGCGAATGTGAAAATATGGAGCATTGCATTTGAGAGGGGCTGTGTTGCCCATGTGTCCGTATGTCTGTATGTGCGTGTGTGTATGTGTGTGCCTAGAGACGACTTTAACAAAGGTCTTCCGACGTGTCGCCGGTTTTTCCTTTTCTCCCAACCCACTTGTCCACACACCCACACACCGACAAGGACATGAACACACAAACTGACTGACACACATACATATCGACACCATGCACACTCCCAACACTCTGACACCACACTCAGGCTCAAGTAGCCGGAACAGCCCGGCCATGGCAGCTCCACGAACAAACCCATCCGCATCAAGAACAACTACAACTACAAGGACAGCTTGTCGGTGCCAGCATTAGCAGTAAAACTGGCGGCGGTATGGGTGCAGGTGGCCGCGATGGCGGTGAAGGCATTCGTGGTGACGGTGCCAGCAACAGCATCAGTAGCAGTTATCTGAACAACCCCGCAGCGGTTCCCTTTGGACGAGCAGCTCGTCAGCAGCTGTTCATGCTGGAGCCCGGTGTCACGTATCTCAACCACGGCAGCTACAGTGCAGCTTTCAGGTCAACATACTGTACTGCCGTACTTGCTGGCGTACAGTCGTACTTCGCATTGTGATGAAGGCCCTCAGTGCACCATTACTTCCTATAACCCAAACCCTATCACAGCCTCTATTTCGTACATTGTTCATGCGCCCTTCAAGTTTCTGAGGACGGTGAGGGGGAAGGGGACGGAGGACCGTCACACAGGCCCCTCCTTAAGGTCATGAAACACACCTCCTCTCTGGCACCCCTTCCCCCCTTTCCTTCCCGCTGCTGCTGCTGCTGCTGTTGAGATTCCGCCGATATCCGGCTCTCCTCAGCTGGAGTTGGGCTCTCAACTGTATGACTCCGAATGGCTCGCATGGACGCTGCTATCTGGATGCAGGTCTTCTTGACCCTGCTCCTCTGCCCTACCCGCACCCGCACCCCACACCTCGGACACCCGTGACGTGTAGGCGGTTGAACCCCCTTGCTGCCCTTGCCTCATCTCATCATCATCACCATCATCACGGATTGGGATTTCGGAGTTTTAAGGCGTGTTTTGTGCGTTAACAGGGGACAGAAGAGAACCTGCTAATTTTGTTCTGCGGGGTGTCAGGTAGGAGGCCCCCTTCGATTGCCTGAGGTATTCAGGAATATGACGGCGCAAACGAGGGAAACTATTAGCCGTCTGTACTGCTAACTGTACCGCCGTACACGATTATGATGACGGGAGAGATCAGTTGTTGGCTTGGGCACTCTTATAAGCTGGAGATGATATTACCTGTCATCGAACTCTTCGTCATCACTCCCTCCATCCACTTTCAAATCGCATGCTGTTGGAATGATGCATGATTTCTCTGCTGACGAATGCAGCAAGAGGAAACTAAACCGCCCGTCCCGGCTCCTCACGCTGAAGCTTTGCCTCATGCTCTCCGCACAACACATCGTCCAGCTCACTAAAAACACTCCCACAGTCCACAGTCCACAGCAGTCCCCCAGAAGCACCACACCAAAGCCACAATAGTAGGATTGTTATCGAAGTCGTTTGTGTATCCCTACATAGCCCTACGTGCCAGAGAAAGATATGGGCCAACAGCCCTGGATACGGGTGCATTCCAGAGACAAGCACCAACCGCTGCACAGCTCTCGAATAATCCTATCCTCTTCAGTCACCGGTTCCATTCATCACCTGCTTTTCACTGCGCCTGCTTATTCGCACGTGGGTCTGTGTCTCTGTGTAATCTACGTGGCAGTGAGTGCACAGAGCATGAACCCAAACATCGAAAAAAGCGCGCCGTATACACACGCGCGTCTGCATTTCCGTGGATAAACATTATGTTCACGTCACACATATGCGCATTCGTACGATAGTATGGGTATGGCACCACCTGTAATCAATAATGCAAAAATCAAACGGTGACGTGATCACTCGGTTGGACGTGCAGGGACTATTAACGGGACACACACCACAACCCACCTGACTCCCCACCGCGAAATGCCCGCTGCACATTGCGCGTAACTACTTCTGGAAAGTGATCACAGCATTATGGCCGTCACCTAGCGCCCGCTTAACGCAGCCACCCGGAAAGCCGGGTGTCCCTCACCTTGCACAGCCCCTCCATGCACAGCCCCCACCGCCCACAGCTGCCACCCCCACCCCGCATCACCCGCTGGCGCACGGCGCATTGCTCCAAGATATAAATGCTCCAAGCATTCTCTTGGGGGCGAGGCGCACGCGTCTACTCTCCTCCATTTTGGAATGTCATCTCTGTTTCGCCCACATCACCCACACCGCCCCCGTGTGACAACCTTCCTGGGCCGTTTCAGTGCCGCAGCTGTCTGCCCGGCTCGGCTCTGCAACCCCATCCCCCTCTTACGAGCAAAACTCTTAGGACGCGGGGAGCATTCTCCCCAGCCGATGCCCGGTTCGCGGACTGCCTAACTGCATACCCCCCTTAGGCCCCACTGCACCAGGCGCCCACCTCCAAGCGCTGCCGCTTCGCTCTCCCTCCTCATGAACACGAGAGGCTAAGCCGGTGCCATATGGCCAGCAAGCAAGCGGCCAGTAAGTGCCAAGCTACGTAAGCACCAATGTCCAAAACAACCAACCCGATGCGCAGGCAGAGGGCCGGCAGCAGGGGCCGTTAAAGCTTTCATCCGCCTTCACACCTTTTGCCTGGATTTCCCGGTCGTATGCGCTAGGTTGTCTTGGTTCCAGCAGCAGCTGCCGCCGCCGCCGCCGCCGCGGCCTCCGCCTCCTTCTGCTTCTTGACCTTCTCCGTCAGATCAGGCAGCTGGGCAATGGCCTGATTCATGTGGGAGAGCATGTCCACTACCGTGTCGTGGAGCTCCTTGGTCACTTTAAGGCCGTCCTGTGGATTGTTGATATCGGGTGTATATGAGATATCGGTGGGAGGTTTCGGTGGTTCGGTTTCGGAGCGTCAGATGGGGGAAAGACGAACCACAAACGTCAGATGGGGGAAAGACGAACCACAAACGTCAGATGGGGGGTTGCGCCGGTGTGGAAAGGACAGAACACACGGGCATACAGCAAAACACACATCGCACTACACGTGGCGGCCCGTACGACACTGTACAATACCGTACAAACAGCCTGGCCCCTACCTGCAGAGTAAGATCTTCGGTCCAGTTCGGGGGCATCGGGATGGGTGGCAACTGCAGGAAAGGAGGTGATGCATGGGCGAAGGTACGTTAGCTGGAGAGAAGACGGGGCCTAGCCCAGGGATGAACATTGAGGATGACGCCACCTCCGAGGGATGTGAGAATTCGGATGGCAAATCCAAGGGGCCAAAAGTGGGAATGCTGTGGACCACCGGGCATACGAGGCCCAGCAAATGCACATGGCGATATGGTATTAGGAGCACATGATGGAATCTGGGTAGTATGATCCAAACGCAACAGAGCAAAGGGCGGGGAAACGTGTCTAAACGGCGCCACTCTACCAGCGACCATGTCGTGGGATGGTAGCGACCTCACAGAAATACACACACACACACATAGGCACACACACATGTATGTTCCTGTAAGCTAAACGGCAATAGTCAGCAACATAAAACTCCATCCCTGGCCAGCGTCAGGCCCGGATCGATATGTAACAGAAACACGAAAAACTGTATCAGCCTAGGTATAGGCTTTCAGCCCAACGAAGGACGTCTTTCAAATCTTCAACCAGGCTGCCTGTGAGCCTGCCGGTCAGCAAGTCCTTGAAGTAGACCTGCCTGCCTGCCTGCCTGCCTGCCAGCCACACGGACCTCCCACCAGGACATTGAGGCTTTGCAAACGCGTACCTTGAGCTGGTGCTCATATGCGGTGTAGGTCCGCTTGTCAAACATCCAAATCTCCTTCTCCACGCCCGGCTTCTGCAGAAGACAGACAGACAGACAGACAGACAGACAGACGGGTAGACGTGAGAGACGACGAATGTAGGGACAAGAGACGAAACAAAAGGTCCAGATGCGGGCCTTGGCACGCGGCTGAGGTGGCTAAGGAGGAGGTGAAGGACGAGGTGACGGAGGAGGTAAAGGAGGAGATGCCATCCCTGCATTGCTCCCCCACTACCCTCAAGCCCTTTCTTAAACGTCCCCCGTCCTGTCACGCCCCCCCATCCAACCCTGCTCACTTTGTAAATGGTGCCCCATGTGTAGTGGTACATGGAGGCATTCCCCAAGCTGCGGTCGTGGGGTGGCTGACTAATGAGTGGCGAGGCAGGGGGACCCAGGTTGCGGATGTTGAGCTTGTTGGCGGCGACACCAATGTCCCAGGCGTACATCTCCCGAACCCAGCCTGGTTACATGGAGGACCCAGAGAACACGGGGTAAATATGTGACAGGCAAAGGACATATAAATGGCAACAAAAAATATATACAGCCATAGGGGCGTGCAAGGCAGCACGGGGCATCGGCAGCGATGGGGTGGTGGGGTGGCGGGGTGGCGCCCGAGAACGACTGGGTGGCTAGGGGTAAAAACCCTGTGTCGCTCCGCGCCGCGTCGTGAAGCGCCTCCGCGCCGTGCCACATAGGCATCTCTCACAAAGACCTCAGCCCCCTATCCACTTATTACCCCCGACCCTCTACATACCGACACACACACACAATCACCTAGCATCTTCTTAGCCTCCTCGTGGGTCTCGATCCACAGACTGAGCTCCTCCCAAATCGGTGTGGCAGCCTGGAGGCGGTGAGCCCGCCACGGTGGTGCGAGGGAGGAAGGGGGAGAGGGGAAAGACGGACCACGAACGAGTGAAGGGGAAAAGGGGAGGGGAAGAAAGGAAAGGGAGGAGCTGAAAATGGTAGGGAGGGAGGACGGGAAGGACAGATGAGGAAGGGGAGAAGCTGAAGAAAAGAAAGAGACGAACAAACCTAGGCAAATTTGGTCGGGTGGGCTCGGATCATCAGGTCGCTATGCAACGGACTTCCTCTCGCCATTTCCCCTTTTCCCCCCGCACCGCATCGCATCTCGCCTGCCGAAATGAACAATAAACAGACACGCCCTGAAGTCCGCACCTTGAAATCTGAGAACCTAGCCAGCACGGGCGCAGGTCCCGAATTGGGCACATTCTTGGGATCGCAATCCGGACAGCGCTCCTTCAGCAGCTGGATAATGACTGCATTTCGATTGTGGGTGTGTGCGCGTGTGTGGGGGGGGTGGGGGGTGGGGTGGGAAAGGAAAAGGTGAGGGGGACATGCCGGGGGGGGGGGGGTCATGGCAAAAACAAACCCCTAAAAACACCGAAGGGGTCAGCCGCGCACGTACACACACAGAGCACTCCCATCTGTCGGAAGTTCCCATGTGCATGTGGGGTCAGAGGAGGGTAGGACAAACCACTGGCGTGTGAAGCAGATACCAAAAGTAGACTGAGATTGATAAAAATGCAGCAGCAGTATCAACACTGAGGGAAACCACTGCCTATCTGTGCGCACGCAAGTTGCCAAATGCTGGAGGCGGAGCTAACCACATTTCGTTTTATGAAGTGATAGGACCCCGGTCGAAATGATAAGCTGGGTGCAGAGGGCACTAATTCCTGCAGCTTAATGTAAGTTCCCGAAGGGGCTCGGAGAGCTAGCTTGCTGTGTAGAGCAAAAGGCCTACACCGGGTTGTAACTACCTTGGGGTTGCATTCTGTTATGCGTGTGCGTGCGTGTGTGTGTGTGCATGCGTGTGTGTGTGTGTGTTACATCGCCTTCTGGATTTTGTTGCGTTACCCGCCAAGGTGTCACCTAGGGGCCCCCATACCTACCTGGACTCATGAGGGGGCCCAACAGCCAGTCTAGGGCGGTAGCTCCAAGATGGAGTAAGGACGCAAGAGAGACCTAAAGACCATTACTCTTAAGACACTTAACACGTCAAAAGAGAAGGAAACGACGTCGAACTAATTGAGCTACCCAAACTGGTGTGCAGTAGCAGCGCGCCTACCTGCTATATCTCTGACCCTCGTTAGCTGGATACTTGGTGGGTAAGGTTCGCCAGCTTTGGCTCAGGTCAACATTCTAAACGAAGTCGGTCGAAGCTGACCGGGGTACCTAAACTAGAAATGAATAGAAGCTAGGCGTATATGGCGCATAGCTGGTTTGGCTTTCGTTCTCCCTTTTCCTCATCCCGGCCCCTCCTTCTCATCCCGTTTTCCCCTCCTCCCCCTTTCCTCTTCATTCTATAACCCCCACATTCTCCTCTTCCCCTTCCGTCACCTCCTTGCTTTGTCCTCTCTCTCCCCCCTCCCCGCCTCCCCCAATGCATCCTCTTACTCTTCCCCCGCCTCTTACTGGGGATGGCAGGTGCAATGTAGTCGAATCCAAACGACCAGCCAGGTACGGCACGGTCGTACGCATCACCCGGATCCGGTACCGGCCTAACCCACACGTAGTCCGTCTCTAGGAGCAGCAACCAGGGAGCCTGGAAGTGCAAGCGGTGGGATTGGCGACAAAGAAAGAAAAAATTCGCAGGCTCGGATTTGAACCAGGATCCGGAACCCGATAACAACAGGGATTCAGAGGAGAAAAGGCGGGGTGGACTGCATAAAAGCCGTGAAGAGGAGAAACTTAAAGCCGGGTAGGGCCGGATAGCAATGGTGTGTGGCGGTGGGGGCGGTGGCGGCGGGCTGCGAGTTAACAAAAATATTACAAGACGCACAAGTGGCATACGTTATAGTTCCAACCGGCCCCCTCCTACCCATTGGCACTTGATTCTCTGCATATTTTGCACATTTTGCATATACACAAAGGACTGCCCGTCCCAGCCCCCCCTCTCGTCCCGGCCAGCCGTTCTAGGCCCATCCTTACCTTGACCATTGACGGGTCCTTCTCCGCCGCATTGATCCACTGCTGCACCGCATTTGCCCGGTCCGCCACCGGGAACCAGCACCACTTGTCACACTCGGGCTGGAGGGGCTTAGCCAGGAAGGTGGGGATCTGCCGGGGAAGAAGGGGTTGGGTGGGTTGGGAGGGAAAAAGGGGTTGGGTGGGGGGGGAGAAGGGGTTGGGGGGAGGGGGGGAAGAAGGGGTTGGGGGGAGGGGGGGAAGAAGGGGTTGGGTGGAGGGGGGGAAGAAGGGGTTGTGTGGGTTGGGGAAAGAAGGGGTTGGGGGGGGAAGACGAACCACGAGCGCGTGAAGGTGATGCCAAGGAAAGACTGATGTGCCAGGAGGGGATGGGTGAGGGTGGAAATCATATACAGGAAGTGAAGGTGTGTCTGTCTGTATGCCTGTCTGTCTGTCTATGATTGTGTGTGTAGGAGAAGGTTATGGAGGAGAAGAGGAAGGAGCAGGAAAGGTGAAGACATAGTCAGCTCCCCCAACAGCAGCTCTAGACATAGGAACAACAGAACCGGCAGCTCCAGAACCATCACGAGCGGAAACACCAGTATCATCCATCAGGCCCCCTCCTAGTCTTCCACACGTCCCACTGTTCCCCTTCGCCTCCCACTGCTCCCCCAACACACCATTAATTCGACCTCCCACACACAAAACATATTTTCCCCCTCAACCCCCTTCCTCGTTAGGGCTAGGACCCCTCTTAAGCCCCCTCTCTTCTCTCGTCTCCCCCAACCAACCCCCACTCACCTCGTCCATGACCTCGTCTGGCGCGGTGCGGTGCAGGATGCGAGTGAGGGCCACCAGGCGCTCCCCCCCAGGCATCTTGCGGACCATGTGGTAGGTGCCAACCCTGGAGCAACGGGCAGTGGAAGGGTGTGTTACAGCCCGGGAAGCGTTATGTCGGGAAATACGGGTGGCAGGTTAAAGGAAGGAAGGGGGAAAGGGAGAGCGGGAGGAAGGGAGGAAGGGAGAGAGGGAGGAAGGGAGGAAGGGAGAGAGGGAGGGAGGGAGGTTGAATACATGGGCAGAAAATGTCAAGGAAGCGGCATCCGGCGCCCCAAGCAGAGAGCAATGTGGGTCCGCGGACGCGGGCAAGACGAGGGAGAGGAAACCGTTTTGCCGAGGGTGGATTGCGCGCGGTAACGGTAACGGTAACGAGCAAGTACAAGAACAACAAGAACGATGGTAACGACGATGATGACGGCAACGACCACTCACATGATTCGCGCCTGGATGTTCTGGTAGGGGCTTCCGTTGCTGGTGAAGAGTGTGTGGATGGTGTTGCCGGGCATCTTCTCCTTGACCGGGGTGATGGGCCAGGTGTTGGCATCCGGGAACACACCCTTGATTGATACGGCGGGAGGAGGGGGAGGTGAAGAAGAAGATGCTGCTGGTGCTGCTGCTACTGTTGGTGCTGCTGCTACTGTTGGTGCTGCTGCTACTGTTGGTGCTGCTGCTACTGTTGGTGTTGCTGCTACTGTTGGTGTTGCTGCTACTGTTGGTGTTGTTGACGTTGTTGTGGCCGTGGTCGTCGGTACCGTTGTCGTCGCTGTCGTCGCTGGTGCTGCTGTCGTGGTGGCGACTGTAGCAGAAGTGGTTGTGGCGGTTGTAGCGGAGGGCGTTGTTGCAGCTGCAGTTGTCGTTGTCGTTGCGGCTGCAGCAGTGGTGGTAGAAGTTGTGGTCGGGCTGGCAGCGGCTGTCGTCGTGATTGCCGCTGGCGTGGCGGTCGTGGTTGTGGTAGTAGCGGTCGGAGCAGCAGCGGCGGTGGTATTTGCTGTCGTACCCGTCGTCGTACTAGTCGCACCGGTTACAGCAGCCGTACCTCCCCCTCCCGCTACTGCGCTCTTGGCTTGTTCCACTCGGGCACTGCCAGCACCACCGGCAGCCTTGCTCTCAGATGTCTCAGATTGCTGGGCCTGATGGTGTTGGTGTTATTGGTGGTGTGTGTGGGGGGGGTCGTTGAGTAGTGGTAGTGGTGGCGGTGGCGGTGAATAGTGGTGTGTTTCCAATTCGGGGTTCCGCTTGCGCGGCTGCAGTCTCGAGGGGAGGCGTAGCTTTCCTTCCTTTCCTTCCTTTCCTTTCCTTCCGTTCTTCCATGTACAGGATGTTTAACATGTATGACACGTATAGCATATTTTATTGTTTCTTAGGGTCCATGGACTCATCTAATTTATCGGCGAACTTCAACTCTCCACAAACACGCCGTACTGTACGGCATGCGACGCCCGGACTTAACCCCGCAGCCACCATACATCCCCCCACCCCACCCCACCCCGCCCTGTCCCCTTCACCGCTCACCCGCACACCCTCAACCTGCCCCCTTCACCACTCACCTTCATAAGCGCTTCCTTATCCTTGCCTTCAGTTGCCTTGGAGGTGAGCGCGGCGCTCTCCGACTTATCCGACTGCTGCTGCTTCAGAGCGGCGGCCATCTGGTGTCCAAACAGATGATGGGGACGGGGAGGGTTTCGCGGGGCAGCCAGGAGGGGTGACGGCGGGGGGAGCATAACGAGTTAGATGCACATCACATGGACATACATACAAATAGACAGACAGACAGACACGCAGTTTACCTCCTTTGCGGCGTCCTCCTTCGCTGTCATGACACGCTGTTCCGAAGTGTCCGACTGCTGCTGCTTCAGAGCCGCCGCCATCTGAGGGAGATTTGGGGGGAGGAGGGCCAAGGGGATGCCAAGAAAGGGGGACGGGTGAACGGGGGACAATTTAGGAAAAGTGACAACATATCAACCGTGTAATGTCCAATGAGAACACACATGTTTTCCTGCCGCTCCCCCCTCTCCTTCCCTCTTTCCCTCCCACTCTGTTGACCTCCCTTTTCCCCTTCCTTTCTTTCACCTCTGCAGGTATTCCTTGCTCCTCTTTGAATTTCGGAGATGCATCCCCCCTCCCTCACTTCCCTTGGTCTCCCTCCTCCTCACCTCCTTGGGCACCCCTCCGTTGGCCGCCCCATTGGCGGGGGCCTTCAGTCCCAGGGCCCCTTGGAGGGACCCACGGACACTATCCCCCAGCGAGCCGCCAATGGAGCCGTGACCTGCTCTCACATACACCGCAACACACAAACAAGACATCCCACTGTATCCGTCTTATGGTATTTTTCCTTTTCGTTCATCGTCTGTGCTTCGTCGTACCCCACTGCCTTACGGAGCGTGCGAATATGAGGTCCATGATATGAGGTCCATGGTTACTAGTTACAAGTTACGAGTTCCGCACACAAGTACGGGGGGGTTCGTAAAAGCCGGGGGGCCCATGGGCGATGTTACTTGGTCCAGGTCAGATCCTCCCGGAGGACCGGGGGAGCATATCGTGATCACCGTTGCGTATGCATGTATGTATGTATGTATGTATGTATGTATGTATGTATGTATGTATGTATGTATGTATGTATGTATGTATGTATGACTTAGATTACACTGTGGGCCGCGAGAGCCGGGGGCCGAAGCCGAAACACAGCGCAAGGGTCGAGAGTATGTATGTATGTATGTATGCGAGGATATAAATCACGTATCAAAGCGTAGCACCACGTGCCATGGCGCCTCAAAGCGTATTAAGACGAAGGGGTTGTGATTGTTGTGGTTGTTGTGGTTATCATGGTTGTTGTGGTGGACGTCAAAAGAGTTACCAAAGCATACACTGTTAAAACGTAGACTGATGGTGATGAACAATTGTGATGGCGGTCGCAGCCAATACATGTATATAAGAGGTGGTGAATGTGTGCAAGAGGCGTCCAGTCATCACAGTTTCCCATCCCGGCCATAACTCCGACACATCCACACACCCTGACATATCACAGCTTCATGTCCCCCGACCATAAGGTTTACTGCGGACTTCCACACACTTTGACCCAGATCAACAAAGGTTGCCAGCCAGCCAGTTAGCCAGCCATGCATGACAGACGGACAGAAAATGCTAACAAAATAGACTCACTCACCCATCGTGCTGCTGCTGCTGCTGATGCCGCTCGAAGCCTTTTTGGGTGTCAACAGCTCCCGTCGAGTGCCCCAAACCTGCCGTTAGTTGGGAGTTGCGAAGGGGAAGAAAATCGCTGGCTAGGAACGAGAGTCGTAATGACCCCAAAACCCCTTCCGAAACCCCTTCCGAGGAAGGAGAGGAGCAGAGGAGAGAGAGGAGAAGGGGGAAGGAGAAATAGGTGCGCACGCAGTTGGGCCCACGAGGCAGGCTGCGGGTGCAATATGGGGTGGTGCTGCGTGCCGTGGTGGTGATCTGCTCGATTGAAAATATAGTCGCCAAGCAGCTTCCCTTCGTAGGGCGCGGAAGCAAATTGCAGGTGACAGCCTGTACGCCAAAACCCTCTCCGACGAAGTTGGTGAATGCTAAACCATGTTGGAGCACAATACCCACCTTCTTGACGGAGCCATGGGAACCATGACCTGCATAACAGCGTGGGAATTAAGGCTTACGCTTGGTAAATGCAATGATACGAGACCAGACGCCATCACGCGGGGCGATAGTAACTTACCCAATCGGGAATCGGCGTTAATTGCTTCAATATGATCCGCCTGAAACGCGGGTTCATAATCATCGTGGGGGAAAAGCAACAGCCCAGTATAGTTGCCCGAGCAACTTACCGTGCGAGGGCTTCCAAGGATCAGATATCCACCAAGCAGACCAACTGAGAAGCAAATAATGGTCACAAAAGTATTGTATGAGCTCCTTTTGGCTGTTCCACGCGCGCCGGGCTTCATCGTGCTTGAAGGAAGCTAGCTAGCTGCAAGAGCTTAAACCTAATACAAGCTATATGAAGCAAACATACATGATAAGGAGTCACAAAAAGCACTTTTGAAGGTTGTGGCAATATATCTTCACCAATTGATCAGTTGCAGGAGCTGGCCTTATGAAGGCGAAGAGTATCTGCCGCATAGGGACTCATCCAAAACGCGAAGTAAAATGTTGAGTTACGCTCCGTTGCTCAGCAAAGTCGTGACATACAAATTCCTTTGCCGTACAATTATACTTGCGGGTTGCCAACCGAGTTCCCTACTTACCCACCATTTACCTGATCACGAATTAGGAGAAGCTGCCGAATACGTCGCTTCCAACACCAAGCTTGTCGCTTGTCCCTAGTGGGTCGCATTTACCACACTACCCGTTTCCATCCTGCTTGCCTGACGCCATCGCGATACATCCACGTCCCGGATACTAAGAATCCTTTACTGTGCTACTGCGCTACCTGAAAGAAGCCAGGAATGCTGCCCAGGTCCAGCTCACGAACTCTCGGATATCGGACCGTGCGGGGATACCTTGGGCACAGCCAATGCACGCAGTATCACATTGCAACGCGTGGAAACGATCGCTAGCTGCAAGAGGCCTAGCAGCTGCAGATGCAGGAGGCTCCGCAACCGCAGCGACGGAATTTCCATGCCCCTCCACGGTACGCCCTTACATGTACGCCCTTACATGTCCTCCTCCCTGCCTTTTTGCCATCCCTCTCCCACAACGTATCATCTTTGCGAATATACGCAGCACTGCTCTATGCTCATACACCAGTATGGCCATACCACTCTGCCCGACCCAGATCCCGAAGCCGATCCGGATCCAGATCCCATACCAAGTAGAGCCCCAACCCGGATCCAATCCAATCCATTTCCAAATCTCAATGTGGATCAGGTGAACCCACATCCGGATCCAAATCCAACTTGACGCCGACCCAAATCCGAGTCAACCGAATCGACAACCGAGTCCTAAACTTCAGTCCTACTTCTCCTTTTGTGTGCTCTACCCCCAATGTTGGAAGCGCAAAAAAGTGCATTCATTCTCACGCTTGTTCCACTTGCCATATCCAGAACGGAAAGTAAAAAATATAGCCCTCTTGAGCTTGACGAGGTCAAACGGCAGGTTACTGTGCTGCTCGCTAAAGGCATAATTCGTCCGAGTACGTCTCCCTTCTCTCCTCCGATTTGTTTATGGGTAAGAAGGACGGTTCTCTACGCATGTGCATAGATTACCGTGGATTGAATTCCATGACCATTAAAAATCGGTACCCTCTTCCGGGTGTAAACGATTTGCTTGATAAGCTTCGCGGAGCTCTATCGATCTGCAGCAGGGATATAATCAGATTCGCATTGCTGAGTACACGGTTTTGAGATTCGGCCTTGTTAACCCCCCTGATACTTCTTAAGCCGTGATTGACCGTATGTTCAGGGCCAATAAATACACACGTTGATTATGACACACGTGATTCTCCTGAGCCCGCGCCCCCAGAGACCCCTTCCACTCCCACACAGCGAACAAATCCTTAACAAAGTCGAACGAACTAAACACACACATTCCTGATATCACGCTTCTATTCAATATCTCCTTGGAAAAGCCAAACTATACAGTAGTAGCCCTATTGCTATACGCGGCGCTTAAGGACCCTTAAGGAAAGCAGGTTGAACAAACTACGTTACCCAACCGCTTGATGGTTTTAAAGCGATCGAACGGACCCGCTTGTTGTCTTAGTAACGTGCTGCCATTTACACATACGCGGATGTAGTTTCCGGTGCATACATATACATGCATGCATGTATCTTGCCTGCTGAGATAGGACACAAATTGCAGTGCTAAAAGCGACGCGACAGCAGGTTGTGGTCGGGGGAGAATTCTCCGGTTCTTTGAGGGTAGTTCCTGGCGGAGTCCTGAAGCAGTCGAGCGGGCAGAGCACACATCATTATCTCGGCTTATGGCGAAGAGAGCTTTAACAATACATAGGATACAAATGCTCTGGTTTGCGTGAAATAGTGCATTCCCGTCGGCAATAGATGCAGGAGGTCCGGCTTTCGCAGCTGATGTGAGGAATCTATGTATAAGTTCAAATTTTCATTACTTTTGCCTGTTTGGTATTCATGCGGCCCGAGACGCCTCATGGCAGGTGCCCGGAGCATCCCAATCAGGTTCCGCGAGCTGGCAGGAGCCAAAGGTACTAAGTGCATTATCCATACATTGCGAATCAATACCTTTGGGCAAGAGAAGTCGGTGAAGTGAAGGAAAATGTACGATGAGCGTAAGGGTACCTGTTGTAGGATTTGCGAATCGATCACTGTAACTTTACAATCGACGGAAATTTCCGCAATTCCCGTCCCCGCTTAGTTACGGATGTACAGGTCATTTTTTGAATATAGTTGAATATGTTTCTAATTGGTAGGAAATTGGTAGGAAACCTTCGGTGCATCGTTTCGATGTCCATGCACGACCCCCTGTTGCTGCTTTTCTGCGTTCGATTTGATGATTATTTTGCCTCGTCGCCAAGCGCTTGCAATAGCTTCTACGTTACTTCATAAAAAAATTAAAACCAGGCTTACAGGGTGTTTCCACTTGGCCGCACACTAACATTTCAAACGTTAACACCTGGCTCAGCAAACCATGCAAGCGATAAGAAACTAGTTAAATATATAAATAGAAAGTAAAAGTTCTCTAAAAAATTCGTGTAAAGGGCCTCCGTACGCGAAAAGCCGAAGGGCCCAGTGGAAACGCCTCGGACACTAAGTCCGCATTAAAGCCGACCAAATTGTAATAGTTTGCGCATTAAATTACACCTACTCTTACTATAACAATGGTTAAGTGCCTTAATAGCAACCTGTCGTATGGTTCCGGGGCGGTTAGTTGAAACACCTGTTCAATAGCCACACACTAAGTCAACTTTAAAAATAATGTTGGAAAGTTAGTGTGCGGCCAAGTGGAAACACCCTGTTAGGTTGCAGAGCTTTGAAGGCAACGGTTGCCTTCAAATGGCATTTCGTCGTCTGGAACCCGGATCTTAGCTGCACTAACCCAACATATCCGCTATATTAGCATTATTCTATACACTATGGATGCATGTGGGCAGGAACCCTTGTCACCTGGACTCAGCTCCCTTCTGGCGGATCTCGCAGCGGACGATGCCGATGATGCCCGCTACCCATTGGCCGACCGCCCTAACGCAAATTTTACATTTGGTTCCTCAGCACAGCCCCAACAACTCCCGCCTTCCCGGCAAGACCCGCCCTGCCTCGGCAACAACACCCATTCTGGCATGCTGCCTGGCAACCTCAATTCATTTCCTGGAGCGATGGATCTAAACTGGTCACTTCTGTCGGGCTCTGTTGGTCCAACCCCTCCGGATCCAGGTCCCATAACCGTCACACATTCGGCCCCAGCCTTTGCTTCCGGCCTCGCTTGGCAGTCTGCAGCACTCACGCGAAGACACAGCACTGCTGCTGGCAGCCGCCGTGGCCGCAGACCTGCGCCACGTCTGCCTGACTTGCAGCAGCAGCTAGATGCGCTATCGGAGCAGTTTGAACAGCTGAGCCAGGAGAACACGTTCCTGAGAGGCAAGCTCAAGGTGCGCGTGTGTGTGTGGCGTGTATGGGAGGGAGAGTAGCAGGGATGGATGGGTGCACGAATGTATGGCGTTCTTGGTACCTGGGTGCTTCAAACCCGCACACTCACAGGCCCAGATCATTAAAAAATAAAACATCACAAAATAAAACGCACATACCCACAGCCGTGTATATGGGTATGCACTCAGCAAACCTTTGTCACCATGAAACCCTAAAACCTTAAAACCTATACACGCAACACACCCACACAGCCACCTGGATAAAACCACCACCGGTTTCCTTTCCTCCTCCGTGCACCCCACTCCTCCCTCCGCAGCTCTTAGAGCGCGTCCTGCCTTACAGGTCCTCCCATGTGGGCTTCTTGACGGCCGTCAGAAACGGTCAGCCACAGCACCACAAGCTCACCAGTTACCTGCAAGGGAACACCAGCATGGACGTGAAGGTCGCAGCGGCAGCAACCTCGGTGGCGCACCAAGGGCCAGCGGTGACAGCAGCAGCAGCAGCAGCAGCAGCAGCACCGACGCAGGGACCTGCCACCACGGCGATGATGCCTCTTGCGGCTACAGCCACCTCGCCTGGCTTATCGCGCACAGATACATCCCCGTGGCTGACTCACACTGCAGCCACTACTGGCTCTTATACCGTTAACGTGTCAACTTCCAGCCTTCCGACGGCCGCGTCAACTGAGATGCTGCCATCACCAGTGCCGCCTTTCACTGCCCCGAATTGCATCTCCAATCACACTACTGCTACTGCTACTGCTGCACTAGTTGTTGCCAGTGCTTGTGGGGCCGGGCATGTGTTGATGGCGGCGGCACAGGGGCCACACGTGCGACTTCCAGAGGTGTCTCCTTCGGGTGGCAGTGACGGTGGCGGCAGCAGGGAAGACGGCAGCAGCTGCAAGAACAGAGGCTATGAGCCTGGCTGGCGATCGCCGGCAGCTGACAGACCCGTGGGTCACTCGGCGGCTGGGTCATTGGGATCCTGGGCGACAGCAGCAGAGGTGAAACCGCTGCCGGGGCTCCCTATCGCACTGGCACTGTGTCCGGGACCTGATGGTGAAGCACCCACCATCACGCCGGAGGCTGTCGAGCAACTCAAGAAGGTTACACCCCGGGAGTTTCAGTTGCTGTACAAGCACTGTATCCAGCAGGTTGGTGCCAGAAGGAAGGAAAGAAAGTGAGAATGAACAATCGACTAATGTGCAACAGCCACACCAACTACAACAATATGGGCAAATCAACAATCTTTTCCTAACCACCAACTGGTAATCAAAACCGGCCGATCAGCTACTTAGCTACTTTTTAAACTAAATTCTAAATCCTTCCATGCAATTGTGCAACTGTTGTTTGTTCACACTTCTTGGCAGTTGGCGGTCCTTGGTGTGGCTGCGGAGGTACACGGGCCGAGCAGCACACAACAAGCTCGCCTCGAGCGCTTTTTGGAGCGAATCTTCGTCTACATGGACCAGGTGGTTCTGCTGTCTCCCAACTGCTTCGTACAGAGCATGTGCGTGTCATAGTAGGACATAATGGTATACAGACATAGCGCTGGGGGGGCTCTCCTTTCTTACAGCGTGGGGAACGAGCTTGAAGATCCTTCTGCTGCTGTACTGCGCAGGTACGTCAACTTGGAAACAGGGCAGCATGAACGGCCTCCCGATGAATTTTGGTGCGCATTAGGTGAGGTGACTAGAGCAAAGCACTGCAGCAACTCACCTAAATACATGCATAGCTAGACATGCATGGCTAGGCATACACACATGGCTAAATATGCATAAATCTAATGTTCATCGATATGTGTAGACAGTATATATCTATACATACATGGCTACTCAAGATATGTGGCCCGTCTATTTCCACGTGTATGGTATTGCGCCGGTGCCCGTGTACGGCACATGTACGGCTCACGCAGGCGCATCACTCAACCTCACCCCGCAGCAGCTCGAGGAAGTGCTCATGGCCCGGGATATGCACGAGATGAACGTGGCCCCCGTGGCGGAGGAGCGTGTACGGCTCACTTCAGAGTTGTCCGCCAGCCTCTCCGCAGCCTTGAGCCAGCACCCCGTCAGTAGCAGTGACGTCATCCAGGTGTGTACGACTGTGTACGACATGCATGCACGCATGGAGTCCGCCATCCCCAAATCGCCCCAAGCCCTCAACAGATACACACACGCATATATAGGGTTGGCACTCATCTAAAGTCGTTTTTCTAATCTAATTATTTCTCTTGAGAATCTCAATGAGAATTTAGAAGGTCTTTTTTGACACTTGAGGAGACGGCCAAGCGCAACACCCTGTCGGATGAGGAGGTGGTGATGCAGCTGCTGGCCGGGGATGAGGAGGAGTGAAGTAGCTAGGGATTTAAGTTGTTCGGTCGGCATTGGTAGCAGTCTATGTCTGCTGAACCTGGCCAGCATGGGATCTTGATGGCATACCATGTCGGCTTTTGTGCATTGCCAGGGCTTAGGAATGATGATCTGGGCCCTGATTCGTTGAAACCTTAACCCTTAGGATATGGAGTTAAAGAAGCATCAAAGGGATAAGCGCCTGTGACGTGTACTTGACCGTCCAGTGCGCCCTCGCATGCTTTGACCCATGGGTCAATACTGCGGCGGAGTATAATGGCTTGTTTCTGTCGTGCAATTGTGCTTCGCAACGTCCCAAAACTTAATTATTATAACAAGTATACCATACAGAATCATCCTACAAAGTTTCAGAGCCAGTCATGCATTTCCCAGAAAGCTGCCAAAACTTGAGATTAGAATCTAACCCATTCTATTGAGATCTAATGAGATCTCAATAGATTGAGATGAGAAGATTTTTCTTTCTAAACCTAGGGGATACCCTACGCATATACACACGCACACCTCCTATAATCCACACCGCCTAGATGACAAGCAAGAAGCAACAGCCACGGCCGGCAACCGACTTACACAACTGTTCTATTTCCACTCAACTGTCAACTGTCAACTGTGAACTGAGATATTTTCCTCGCCCGCTGTCCGCCTGCAGACGTTGTCTGAGGTTGATGAGGTGGCGGAAAGGCTCAGGCGCAATGTCATCCGCGAGCATCAGGCCCAGATGGACGTGGGGGACTTCTTGTGCATGGGGTGAGAGGGGCTGGACGACTGGGTGGGTGGGTGGTTGGGTGGTTGGGTGGTTGGCGGCCCATTGGATTTGGGAGGGGGTGAATGGGACATATGGAAGACAGTCAGGCTGGTTTGAGCATGTGGCCCTGGGCCGCGTCAGGCGCTCTCATCCGGCCTTGGCACCGCTCCTCAGCAGCCCTTGATTATTTATAGAAATTAACGTTTAAAAGCATTTCCCACTACCTCCTTTCCTCAGTCCTGGCTGCGACCGGATCCCTCGGCGGTGACTGCCATGACCCTCGTCCCCTCTTCCCCCCTTCCTCGTCATGCACGACAGTGTGCTGTCCCCAGTCCAGGTGGCACGTATCATGGCAGCATCATATCCGTACATACCGGACGGAGTTGCAGTACTGCACGCGTGTGGTGTTGGCAGAGGCGGAGGTGGGGGTTGCAGCGGCGGTGGCGGCGGTGACGCCGCCGTCAGATAGACATGCCGCCGGGCAGTGTATGTCCCCGGCCAGTGGGCGGTTTTGACGGTGATTGATAGGCGGATACGTGCGGATGCTCTATGGTGTACGTGTGTCAAGGTGCCGTACAGTGTACGGTTGACAAAGAGGCGCCAGAAGGTTGTTTTTTGCGGAAACCAATACCTCGACAAACATTATGTCCGGCTTCGGAGCACTTGAGAATACCCGCTGCGAGTTAATTAGAGCGCCCTGGAGGGTTTTTGATACCTTCTGAACTAAGTAGCTTCGTTTTGCGGTGGTGTGTATGTGTGTTCGTATGTATGTAGGTGTGTGCGGGTTGGGAAGTATTGATGGCTGGGCTGCTGCTGTTTGTAGTGGGAGGATAACTGTAGTGGGAGTGCTTCAGGCCATTAGGTGGAAGAGAGCAGTAATATGACAATTAGTTGGTTGGTTTGTTGGGGTACGTTGAACAGAAATATCCTCACTCACTAAGCCTCACGACTGGCGGGTTGTGGACGATCGGTAGAGAACCACCAACTAACTAACTAACTAGGGCAGAGAGGACGTGTACGTGAAAGAGGTATGTTGGGATTTTCCGCTGGCAGGAGACTCCGCCTCAATCTCTCACCCTCCCTTTCACCTCTTTTTGCATTTCTGTTGCGTGTACGTCACCAGGCTCGTACATTCATACGCTCTGGGCCGTACAAACGTTCACAAAAACCTTTATTTCATTATTCACCATCCTAGGCTTCAGGATCTGGAGGTGTTAGGGGGTTACTCCTATGCCATATCTCTCCACCTGTGTCTCTCAGGCTTCTTCCCCCAAGCAGCAGCATGAGAGGTGGTAATGACAGCAACAACACTACCAAAAATGCAATTCCATGCACAGATGATGTATAGAAGGGGGAAGAGATGGTGGTGGGGCTGTATGTGTATGTATGTATGTGTGTGTGAGAGTCTGCGGGCAGGGGGAAAGCGGAGGGAAGATGATGCCGGCTGTCCTAGCCCCCTCAAGACATACCTTGAACTACGGGGATCCTCCCATCGATCCCTTCCCTCTGCTCGCACATCACCACGTAGATCCCATGCACATACATACATACAAACGCACCACTGTGTGCATACGGTATCACTCATCATCATGCCCCCACCACCACGACATGCGGAAACACCAGAATACCAGGGATATACCAGTGGTGTGTACGAACGTACACGGCTACAAGTACGGATATGTGTGCAGCACAAGAAGTGCTAGAGAACCGCAGCACGCACATATCCGCCGTACGTGCACATGTGCTGGTGTGGTGCAGCTTGCTATAGGAGGACCTCCTGGATGTACGGCAATGTTAGTGCAGTGTACGGATGAGAGAGTGTGAGAGATTGAAGCCTGTACACGTATGCAAGCCGGTGTACATTCACACTCATACTCATACTTACCATACAGTTAGACACACACCCCGTTGAGCCCAGGAATTACCAATGGGGGGGGGATGCCACACGCCAGCCAAATTGGTCAATGACATTTCATGCAAAACTCGATACCATGCAGAGACTTCCTTACTATGCAGGAACGCTGTCCGTTCACACACAAATATATCACTAATTAATTAAGGGCGGTCAAAAGGCGATAGGCTAAAACAGCCATCCCGCAACACCAAGCACGATGTGCATGTCAAATGCATCCAACTGTCAGTAACCACTTCGCAACGACGGCTAACCGACCGATCAAGCGCCCATCTGCACGAATGCGTGCATGTAATACACACCGGCTCCTCTGCTTTGCCCTGACTGATAGCAGTTTGTGTACATGTTGTCCTCTCACGCCTTTCCTTCAGATCAGCAACCCCCCAAAGCCCCGTGTAACTCTTTTCCCCCTCTCCCCCACCCCCTTGCCCCCCCTGGATCGGAATTCCTTCATTCCCTCAATCAGCCACTCAAAGATACAATGCACAAATTATTGTACGGCTCGTCCAAGTCCCCATCCGGAAAAACAGATGGAAATTCCGATGCCGAGCCCGGTGGCTTGGAGGGACAGCGACCGTGTGTGTCTCTGTGTGTGCGTGTTGGGGGGTGGGGAGAGAGGAGGCGTGTTGGGGAAGGAGGGATGATGTAGCTGCAGCCACCACATGCGATGCGCTTGCAGTTGCTGCTCCTGCTGTTGCTGCTTCCCAATTGCACTCTTTCTTCCCCCCTTGGCCCCTTACCCACACCGCTCTTCATAAAATGCGAAAAGCTCATCGCTCGCCTGCTCATAAGGAGACGTCGTTGCTGCTTTGTAAGTCCCCCAAGTCCTGAAGTCTTCAGTACGCTGCCCATCATTACTACCTCCCTTACCTCCCCCACACTATTACTGCTGCCACCACCACCACCATTACTACCATCCGCATCTAACCGTTCTAAACGTCCCATTAGCCCGCCAAGAGGCATTCAATCCGCGTCCTGAACTGTACGGACCCCCGTGGCGCCGTGTATACGAGGGATGGACATACAGACACACATATGCACATGTAATATGAAATGCCGAACTGCAAGTCCCCGGCGGACTCATCCTCCTGCCGTTCAGATTGATGCCGCTGTGGCGGCGGTGATGATGGTGGTTGTAATGGAGGTGGTGGTGTGGCAAAAGCAACGGTAACGACAATGACAACGATGAGGCGATGATGATGACAGTATCACGAATGAAAAAAACTGTCATTTCGTACCGTTTCACCAACCAGGAAAACATAACCACCAACCAGATTAACACCGTTGTGTCGATGATGCCATACGGCAGGTCTAGTTACCAAAAGTAAATTAGCGCATGTGCATCAAAGGAAGGAAACTCGCAACCTGCAAATCGCACCCCTCCGTGTTCCTTTTTGCATTGATGATCCCGTGGGGCTCTATGGAACCAAACCAGAAAAGGACGGGAGTATTCGGTGTTATAAAGACAAAACACTCCATTCACAAATTCATCCATCAACCACCCAACCGTCAAACAAACTACCTAACTCGCCAACCATCCAACAGAAACTAAAAGGCCACGAAAGCTCACATTTCCGTCCAATCCCAGCTCCTGCCAGTGCACGCAGACACGCGCGCACGCAAACATGCGCAACAGCAACAGCAGCGCGGGGTCCGCAACACCAGCTGCTCTTTTTTCTCTAAGACAGACGGGGAGATAATGATTAATGCCGTAGATTAATATTGATGATAAACTAGCAACAGCAGCACGCATGCACGTATATACATACACACCTATACACATTTGACTCAACATACACACATACATACGCACGCACGCACAGAGACGTCACACATGCATTACCGGTCACGGAGGGGCTGACCCGCCGGTCCTACACACACATACACACCGATATATAGACAGACAGACATGTACGCTGACACGTCCTCACCACCGCTCCGTACCACACCGGTGAAGTGGAGGCTGTGGAGGCCTTGAAGTGGTACGACCACAGCCTCCGCTTCACCACATAGCCGCCACGCCGCCACACACACACACACACACACACACACCCTCTCACGCACTCACAACCAACCAGGCAGCCAGCGTGTCGGTTACCCAGCTAGCAAAGCACACACACACACACACACACACACACACACACACACACACACACACACACACACACACACACACACACAGCCAGTCAGCCAGCTGCCCCTCACGCAGCCGTTGCGGTGTACAGCGCTGAGCTACCAAAGCTCTAATTTTACAATTTCAACCTCTCTTTAAACACCTCAATCAAATCTCCTCCTCCTCCACAGCCGCTCCTGCACTAACAATGTCCAGCTCCCACCCAGCTGCCTCACACACGTACGTACATACATACATACATACATACATACATACATACATACATACATACATACATACATACATACATACATACATACATACATACATACATACATACATACATACATACATACATACATACATACATACATACATATAGACGCACGCACACGCACACACACACATCACCCTGCGCACCCTTAAACCGCCCATCCACTGCCTCCCGCCGCTCCCTCCGGCACTATCCCGGAGCCGACCTGCCCATCACACACACACACGCCTGCCACCCGCCGACCTGACAACCAAACCAACCCGCGTAAGCCCAACCCTCCGTAAAACCCTAAACCCCTTTGAAATGATGCGGCCTTTCCTGCGCCTCCCCAGTCTCCTCATCCCCTCATCATCCTGCTCACATCCCCACCACCATCAAGCAGCAAGAAAAGAGCTCGTGGCCAAGAGCCGCCGCCGCCATCCTCATCATCATTAATAATAATACTCAGCCCTTCACCTCATCATCACATATCATTTCCTCGCAAGCCGCCCCATCACCCAAACAGTTTGTTGAGCTCCTCTATCAGCCGGAGCCGGTGACCCATCACCGTGACGCCGAACTCGCTCCGAAGCGTCTCATGCAGGAACCGCATATCGGTGCCCATACGGTACAGTCCACTCAGAGCGACGCCGTCCATGCTGTGCTCCCGGAATGTGCCCACGTAGTCCGCGCACTTGATGCGTTTCAGCCACTCCTCCACCTCATACACGTTCCAAGAGTCCGCCCTGTCGGATGCCGTCACGACTGCCAGAGAGGTCGAGGCGCGAATCGGCGCATCACCGTTGGCTGTGGCGTTGATCCTGTGGGGATTACGATGGGTGTCGAAAACTACGGCGTTAGCTCGGTTTTAAAACGGGTTTTAACTAAGTTTTAAAAAACGGGTTATGATTGGGTTTTAAGAAGCGTGTTTTGGATGTTGGTTTTTGAATTAGAGATTCTATAAACTCGTTTT